TTGACTCCAAGTCGGAGCGGGCGAGGCCAGGGCGCCGGGTGATCTCGCAGCCGCAAGGGCCGGGCAAGGCGAGGCGCTTGCGTTTCGCGCCTGTCACCGCCGCCCCGCGGCTGGACAGCGCGGATTGCCAGCCTGACAGGGCAGGGAGGTCAGCGCCATCGCCCTCCACGGCCGGCGGGCGAATGCTGTGCTCACTGTTGCCGCCGTCGCAGGATGTCGTCGCGCTCGGGCAGTGAATGTCCCAGTTCGCCACCTGTGACCCGCTGCCGACTCCTGCCGCGCAGAGTGGATAGGGCAACTTCTCCTCAGAGAGCTGTCGCTTCGCCTGCTGGGATCTTCAGGTCAAATTCGCGGCAGATCGCGCAACCCAGAGATTGGCCCAGTCGCTGGCCTCGACGATGACGACGACGCGGCTGCCTGATGGAAAAAAGCGCCTGCCAGGTAGCATGGCGAGTCGCCGTGCGAGCCCGAGCCCGTGCCCCGCGAAGTCGGCGACCGAGGGGCGTCGGCCAATGTGCAGGCATGTGGAAATCCGAATGAGCGCCGCAGGGTGCTGCTGCATCTACTGCTGACGCGAAACTGGATGCACCCCTTGGTGATCGAAAAAGAACTGGCCGTGGTGTCGCAGAGGCAAGAGCCCGAGGAGACGGTGCTGTGTCCTGTCGCGGTGGTGTCTCTCCTAGCACGCCCCCCTCGGGCGCTGCGCGAGCCGGCGACGTGGGCGTCGGAATCGCGGGCGCACGATCTGCACCAATGAAGCGGGAGTCGGCGATGACACTGGCTGGTCCGCGGCGTGCCAGGCAGTGGGCCGAGCTGGGGTCGGTGCTCTGCGCTAGGTCAAGGCGCCGCGCTGCAGGCGCGCCACCCTCCCGCCGCGCACGAAGGACTCGGAGACTGGGCACCCCCTGTCGTTGCCGGCGACGACGGCAGGGGAAGGAGGCGCAGCGGGCCCTGCGACCGGCGCGGGAGGATAATTGATAAGGGTTTCTGTTCAACTCCAGGCGGATTGGGGCCTCCGCTCAACTTGCTGCCCTTGTCGTTCGACTGCTAGTTGCGCGCCGTGGAGCCCGTCGAAGTGTCTTCGATGGGCATCGCCGAGAGCAGTGCGTGCGCTGTGCTCAGGTATGCCTCGCGGCCGGCGAACCACGTGGCCGCTCGCCCCGATGGATGGCCCGCGCCAACTGGCCTGTCTGAGTTGAAGAGAGCCAATCCAATGGGGGACTTCGGCACAGGCGGCGACGTGGGTGCCCGCGCCGATTGCGGTGGCCACGTGGAGCTCGGCCCACATGGGCCGCTAATGCCGAGTAAGACCACTGGCGGCATGCACGCCCAGCTCGGCCACTGCGCGTCGGCAGCTGGTGGTGTGGGAGCTGCGGCTCGTCCGTCATGAGGCCGCCCAACTTGTCGCGCCTGTGGACATGTTCCGGAGGGAAACCAGCGCCCGCTCGCGTCCACTGTGGCGGCGTCGGCGACGCTGCTCGAGCAGTAGTTGCCGAGGGCGCAGCTGGCGCTGGCCCCCCCCCCGCGGCCGCTGCGCGGGGCTTGCGCGCGGGCTGCGAGGTCGGCCATCTCCTGTCGTAATTCTGTAGTTCGGCGTCGCGTGCATTGGGAGACGACGGCGAAGGCGATGCTGCCCCAGCCTATCGCGACCGCTGGCTGCGGCCAATCTGCTGCAGCGGGCCGTCGGGCGACGAATTTGGGAGAGCGGCTGCTGCCGCCGGCCGCGTCGCTGCTGATGCTGGCGTCGGCTGGCCGCCATTCCAGGGAACAGCGCCCTGTGCGGGGTCACTCACAGACAGCAGAGTGCCGGCGGTGTCCCTAGTCATTCAGACCGCGCGCGCACCGCTGAAGGGCTGCTGCCCAGCTAGCCTTGGTGACCCTTGCTGTCCGAAGTGCGCGAGCGGCGTGGGGGCTGGCGGTGGGGCGCAGGCGCCGAAGAAGAAACCGCGCCCGTGGTTGCGGCGCCAAGGACAATCGCGCACGAGGCGTTCCTCTGACTCACACTCGTGGCATTGCGGGCGCGCCCCGTCAAGGCCCATAGTTTGCCCTGCCAACCCAGATCCACGCCGCTGGTCCTGGATCTCCCTTTCCCCTTACCTGTGTTCATCCCGAAACCCGCGGGCGTGTCTCGGAGGTCATTTTCGGACAGGTCGGCTGGGGATCGGCGACTACAATGGGTGCGGTTTGCAAAAGGTGCGGTTCGCCTCCCGTCATATCTGCCCCTCCCGCCTCCAGGAAACGGATGACACTGTCACTCAATGCGACCGAATCACATGACACTGTCGCTCCTCCTAATACGATGGAGCACACATCGAGGATGACAGTGTCGCTCGAAACGACGACAATTATGACATTGTCTCTCACAAAGGCCCCAGAAAGGCCGCCACAAAGCAACTCGCAAACTGCACCTGGCGTAACCGCACCAATTGTAGTCGCCGAGGGGAGGCGCGGTAGCCTTTACCGTGGCCGTTGCCCCCTCGAGACGTGGCACGCGTGCGTGCGCTTGTTGAAGCGACGCGGGCGTGCTTCGGCGCGCTCGTGAACCCAGGATATGCGCGCGCCGAACGGTTCCCCAGAAGCGTCGAATAATTCGGGGCCGTCGGCGGCTATCTCGAATTTGCCGGATGAGCTGGTGGCGTCGGCGTTGGTGCCTGATTCGGTGCCTTGTCATCCTGCGCTGGCGGTGCCGGTGCAGGTGCGCTGTGCCCCTCCCAATGATGATGGGCCCAGGCGGGCGCGCTTCGGGCGCTGCGGCGGTCAGCTTGAAGGTGGCCCCGCCGCGGACCTGTAGATGTGGGGCGAGCGTGACCCGAGGAAGGCATATCAACGCGATGAGCTGGATGTGCCGACGGCAACTGTACTCTTTGACGCGCAGGATCCACGGACTAATGACGAGCGTCACGCGGGCCAGTCTGCAGCAGACAGCCACGTCTAACTAGTGGGGCCCGCACTGTGACGGACTCAAAACTGCTGTAGGGAGGCAGGGGTGGACATGGTGACGCGTTCCGTCCAAAACGATGTACATGCACGCGGAGCCCGCTCAAAACATCGGGCCCGAGCTTTGTGCGGGCAGTTATGAACGGGATGACGCTTGACGTAGTTCGGAATGAAGGCGTCGAGGTCGTTGCTCACATGTTCTTATTCTCTTGTTTGCCCCGTTCCAGTACGCGGATTCATGGCGACGTTCGAATTCGCGACTATATTGCAAAGAGCATGGTCGATTGTGGTATTGCCTATGGGAGCGGTAAGCTCTCCAAAAATTTGGATCGTGCTACACTCGAGAAGATAAACATAATGAAACAACACCAAACCAAAAAGATTAGGGGTGAACCGCTATACCCGCTATCGGCGCGGGCGTTTGGACCGCTGGCTTTCGGGGACCGGACGGTGGCCACGGGGCCGTAGCGACATCGCAGTGAGGGAGAGTCCCACCTACGAGAATCAGCACCAACACCCTCCAACAACCAGCACAACACTAAGATACAAGCCGTGCCCCCCATCCGCTCAGGCTCCGTTGCCAAACGGCCCCTTGGCAGCGCATGTTGGTCCTATGATGGTCCCCCACCTCCTCCCCCTCCACGTACTTCCCTGACGGAGAAAGGGAGAGAGAGAGAGAGAGGGAGGGGCAACGAAGATAAAATATAGAGGATCAACACACTTCATAAATATAAGCTTTCGGAGGTCCATATGGATTTCTGGGATCGGCGCTGAACCTCCCCCTCCATGGCGTGCGGAGCGCGCTGGGTGCGGCGCCGGAGGAGCCGCAAGGGGGCGCAGGCAGCGCAAATCCGAGAAGCCCACGCAAAACTCAGAAAATGTATGTTTATGCAATTGTCTGGGAGTTGACGGTTCCCGCAGTCGCCTGGCTGACTCCGTTCGCCCTAAGAACGATACGGTGCGCGACTGGGCGCTGTCTGTGGCGGCTTGGAACGGATGCTGAAGGCATCCTGCGACAGCCTAAAATCCTTCTTCCTGCTCCCGCGCCACCCTGGCGCGCGCGCTTCCCCCCTCTCACCCCCCCCGCGCCTTCGTCGTTCGACTGTCGCTCGTCGTTTTCGTCGTCGTCGGCCCGTATCGTATCGTCTATCCGATCTCTTCCGCTGGGTTCCTCTGTCGCTGGTAAACCAAGTGCAAGGCACGCTCGCTCGCTTTTTGCTGAAGGGGAAGCGGGGATGGGGGGGGCAAGCTTCGAATCCCGCCGCCGCTCTCTGCCCGCATGCCTGAAGGGGTCCAGGGACACACAGGTAAGCATACACAAATCCCAGGATCCCCCAAAATGTCCCATACCTCCTGGATGCTTGTCTTCCCCTCCCACTTCCAACAGTGTCCCATCTCTGTGCTTGTTTGTTTTGTTTGGTTTTCTCTCTCTCTCTTATATATATATATATATACATACATCCATACATACATACACCTACACAAACATATGTATGCACATGCGTACATACATACATACATACATACATACATATATACATACATACATACATACATACATATATACATACATACATACATACATACATGTATACATACATGCATGTATACACATACATACATACATACATACATACGTAAGTACATACATATACATGTACATATACATATACCTATACATATACCTATACATATACACATACATATACATATACATATACATACACACATACACACACACAAATACATATACGTATGTATACATACACATATACATATACATTTGAATATACATATACATATACATACACATACACATATACATAGACATGCATACATCCATAAACATATACATGTACACATACACATACACATACATATACATATACATATACATATACATACATACATACATACATACATACATACATACATACAAACGTACATATATAGATATATCTCTATATATATACATATATAGATTCCTGGGGATCGACGACTGCTTGTGTCTGTGTGTTTTTCCCTCCTGAATGCCTCCCCCCTCCCAGGCGCGGCTGCTCGGCCTCCGAGGAGTCTGGGACCACCATATCTGCCGCCAGCGCCTCCCCCGCCCCAGGGGGCGGCCGATGGCAGCGCTGCTCCTCCTCCTCATCCTCCGCCGGCATTCGTCGTCGTCGTCCTCCTCCTCCTCTTCTGCCCGCGTTCGTCCTCTTGTCCATTTCCTCCTACTCCTCCTCCTCCTCCTCCTCCTCCTCTTCCTGCTCCTCCTCCTCCTCCTCCTCCTCCACCTCCTCCTCCTCCTTGCTCTCTTCCTCATCATCCTCCTCCGCTTCCGTCTCCTCCTCCTTCTCCTCCTCCTCCTCCTCCTCCCCCCCTTCTCCAGACCCCACCCTCCTCCTCCTCCTCCTCCTCCTCCTCCTCCTCCTCACTTCCTCCTCCTCCTCCTCCCCCTCCTTCCTCCTCCTCACCCATCCCTCCCGCCTCCCTCATTCCCCGCTCATCCTCGCCATGCTCTCGCTCGAAAAGCACATCCTCCAACTTAATTGTCACCTCGCTTGACGATGACACATGATGAATACTACTCTCCTCTTTCCCCGAACTTCGTTCGGACCTCTCACCGCATTTATTTCTACCAGCAATATCTGAACCATTGATGTATCTCACGTGTTTGTACAATCCGACCAATTCGGTGTTTCAAAAGGGTGGTCCCGCTGCCGCGTGGGCCTCATTTTCAAATCGGCGCTCTGCCCCCGTCCTTCAGAGAGGCGCTCTCGCATAAGCGCGGGCCACTTCTTCTGGATCCGAGCCCGTTTTCATCGGTGTCGCCCCCTTCATTACCCCTCCTCCGCCTTCCCGTGGGCCTGTCGCTCATTCCTCTCCAGCGCCTGATTCCTGCGGCTGCTGTTCGTCCTCGTCCTCCTCCGTCCTCCTGCTTCTACTTTTCCTCCTGCCCATCCTCATAATTATCCGCAAGCTTCTCCTCCGTTGTGCGCAGCTCCCTCTCTTCCGATTGCTCACGACACGGTGGGGTCTTCTTTGGAGATCCAGGTCCGCTATGACACGCGTCGGCGGGTAGAGAGAAAACAACTCAATGGGAATGATAGGTCGGAGGGGTAGAATGTCAGACATGGCGCGAGCGCACCTAAGTTGTCATCCACCCCTCTCCTGTCGGCGGCGAGGCGAGCCCGGGGGGAAGTGAGAAGGGGCGAACCTTCTCACAAGGCTCGAAGTCCCCTGGCCTTCCGGGGAGTGTTCCAAGCCTTCCCCGAAGACGCAGAGAACGTCTCAAAAGGAGCGAGGGCTTCTGAGGAATCCCGCCGGCTCTCCCCCTCGGTCGCCGCTGATCCTCCTCCTACATCCGCTCGGAGATGGTGACTTCCTTATAATTTCAAGCAGCGGTCGTTACCTGGGGGGACCGGGGGGGGGGGGGGGGCAAGGGTCTCTGGTGACGATAGGTAGCGCATGGGCGGGGTGGGGCCCGTCGGGGCGAGTGTGCGCCGAGCACCAGCACATGGGGCGAGGGCGTTCAGGCCCCGCGCGTGAGAAAGAATGCGAACGCAGCCACTAGGGCCCTGGGCGAAACGCCCGATGGGGCTACGAAGCGTGTGAACGGTGTGCCGAAATCATGTGGTAGCAACACTCGCCCTTGCTCGGACGTCCATTCCCTGTGTTTTTGTTCGGTTTCGTGCGTAGTTTCTTTTGCCAAATGATCAAGGGTGCTCCTCGATTGTCCTCGCCGAAATATGCACACGTCCGAGCGATGCCAAGAACATGCAGGCGCAACCCATGGGGCCTTGGGTGGGACTTACTACTGGGCAACGAAACATGTGAGGTGTGCCCCAAAATTGGAGCGGTCACGCTTACGACTCCTGCCGCGGGAGCCTTCGGTGAAACTCTCTGCTGGGCCTCGAGGCGCGTGAAAAGTGCGCCAGCCCTTTTTCGGAGAACGCACGCGAATGCAGCCAGTGTGGCCTTAGGTGGAACTCTCTATGGGGCCACGAAGCGTGCGAGGGGAGGGCATGTGGACAACCAGTGAGGTTTTAGGTGGAGCACACCTTGGGGCCACGAAGCGTGCGAGTGGTGCGCCAAGTGGGGTGGCGGCAGCATGCGAACGCAGCCACTGGGGCCTTCGGCGGAGCTCCCCATGGGGCTACGCAGCGTGAGAAGGGTACGCCAGATTGGGGTGACGGTTTCATGCAAATGCAGCCATTAAGCATTAGGCGGAGCTCCCCATGAGACCACCAAGCGTATTATGGGGTGCGCCAAAATGGGGTAGCGGCGGCATCTGAACGCAGCCGCTGGGGCCGTGGGGGTGGGACTCCTTATGGGGCAACGAAGCGTGTGATGAGTGTGCCAGGAGTGGGATGGCGGTGGCATGCGAACGCAGCCAATGGGGCCTTAAGCCTTAGGTGGGGCTCCATATGGGGCCGCGAAACGTGCGATGTGGTGCGCCAAAGGCGGGTGGCGGCGGCATCCGAACGCAGCAATTGGGGCCGTAGGTGGAGCCCCCTATGGGGCCACGAAACGTAAGACGGTGCGCCAAAGTTCGAATAGGGCATAAACCGAAAAAATGGATTTATCCAAACTTGAATTGCCCGTCGACGTAGAAATACACGAAAAGTAATGGCAAATCGACAAACCAAACCTATTGTTTGCAGATTCGATGAACACGCCAATTTGGGGGTAAATCGACCCTGCCGTCGGCTCCCTACTCGTAAAAAAAACTGGCGACGGCATGCGCACGCAGCCACTTGGGCCTCAGGTGGAGCTCCACACAGGGCCACGAAGCGTGTGAACGGTGCGCCAAAGTGGGAGGGGGGCAGCGGTAGGCGAGCGTAGCCATCGGGGCCTCCGATGGAGCTCCGACGGGGCCACGCAGCGTGCGAGGGGTGTGCCAGGATTGGGGGAGCACGGGCGGACAGGTCGAGGGGGAGGAGAGAGAGGCAGGAGGAGGAGGAGGAGGAGGAGGAGGAGTAGGAGGAGGAGGAGGAGGAGGATGGAGGAGGGGGGAGGAGGAGGAGGAGGAGGAGGAGGAGGAGGAGGAGGAGGACAGGAGGAGGAGGAGGAGGAGGAGGAGGAGGAGACCAAGGAGGAGGAGGAGGCAGGAGGGAACACGGGGCAGCCTGGAGGCGCACAGGTCGAGGCGACGGGCGAGCCGGCTGCACTAAGGACCGCGAGCGCCAGCTCGGCCCACGGGCCAGGGCAGGCGCCGTCGGCCACTGTCGGGTCGGGCGAAAGGGGGGGATAGCGAAGGGGGGGGTTTGAGAAGCAGCTCACGTAGCTGATTTTCCCGGCGCCTCCCGGCGCGGGGAGGCGGCTATGTATCGAGGAATGGGTCCCTCGGTGGGGCCGAAACCAGCTGCATGCAGCAAATGTCGTAACCCCCCCTTTCCCAATCCCCCCCCCTTTTCTGGCCCGACACTGGGGCAGACGGACAGTACACGGAGGGGGGCCCGTCCATTTTTGTTAGGTAGGGTGCGGCTTTGACAGCCGCCACACCTCTACCCCTGCGACAGGACCTTTCCCCAAAGATGAAGGGAAGGTTCGGCACAGCCAGCCAGACGAGAGTAGACCGATCTCGACCCCGGACTCCGACCCAACCTCCACCCCCCCGTCGTGCTGCGACCCAGCCACCTCGATGCGGAGGGCCTTCGCAATTCGGCGCAGGGTGTCAGGGCAGGAGGGGACGAGGGAGGAGCTCGCAGCCGCAGCCGCAGCAGCAGCAGGAGGGGAGGACCCGAGAGGTCCGAAGGCCTTCCCAGTCTTGGGGTCCAAGCCCCTAGACGTGCATCCGATATTCAAAGCACGGCTCGACCGAGTACTGGGGTGGACACGGCGCCCTTTGCACAGGAAGAACAGACTACGACAATTCTAATCAGATGAAATCGAAGACGAGCTGCTCAATATACAAAACATCATTGTCTTGGCGCCCAACCTGGTGGCCAAGCTCCCGGAAACGACGGATTGCTTTGGCCTGGGGTGGTTCATGCAACGCTACGGGCTCCAGGACGTCATCCGCAGCCAACATCGCACCCTGAAACACCCTCGAGGCCATCGAGACACCCTCAGCCCCGCGGGCTAGGAGGAAAGACTCTTCGGCTTGCAGCTGGAGCGGGCGCGGGCGAAAAGATTCGCGCAAGACAGTGGAACAGCTCTTGCCGCAGCACCACCGCAGCGGGCTCGGGCCTGCTTGAGCCTGCAGTCGGGAGGGGGGAGGGGTCGAGGGATCCGAGGAAAGCACGACTCCCGATTGGGCGAAGCGGCTCAGGAAATCACAATCTTTCTTGATCTCCGCCAGGTGACCTTGTTGCGCCTCGACGACTGACTTAGCGACGAAATGAGAGTCAACCCCTACGCGTGCAGAAAGATCAGCCCACATGATCCGTAGGAAATCCTGAACCCGCTTGGCCGACGACGCGGGAAGAATGGCATCCCACTTACGATGAGCTGTAACCCACTGGACACTGGGCCTCTGGTCGCAAGTGTCCTACAGATCGAGTATGCGTTTCCCGGTGTCGGCATGGGCCGCTTGGCCCTTAGCAAGCGAGGGGGACCGCGAAACACCCTCCCAAACAGAACGAACATGGTCCGAGACCACATGCGCGTCGCTGCGGCTTACCTTAAATGCCGCCAGGATCCCGAAACGTTCAGCCCGCGGCACAGACGGGCGCCAACCAGGGAGGGGGCACCGTACACAGCACGCAGCGGGAGCCCATCAGGCCCCAAGTCGACGGCAGCGTGACCACACTGTATTTCGGAGCTGGCATTAGCCAGTCCCGGACCGTCGGTGTAGATGTGCCGACACCAAGGCATGTGCGTGGCCCCACTGGAATGGGTCGGGAGCTCCTGGGCCACAGGCGTGATCCGAAGACGCGGCAGGGGAAACAACAGGCGAGCTCGACAACACCCCGATCGGGCTCCCCGGTGCCATTGGCCCCATCTCTCAGAGAACCCCGCACCGATCCACGACTCCGTCAGGATGGTTCGAATCACACGGCCGAGGGCAACTGAGCACGTCACCACACCCGGACAACCGATGGCTTCGCGTGCCAGCCCCAGGTTTGCCGCGAAACTGGCACTCACCCTTGTGCTGGACACCTGCCGCGTTGCGACGGGCAGGAGGCCACGTCGCGGACCCGATGGCACGCCTGGCGGCCCCTTGGCGTTTCTGGCCCGAAATCTTCAAAACCGTAAGTCGGGCCTGTCCCCCCCCAGGGGGATTTTCGACGAAAAATTAAAAATACACCAAAAATTGTTGAAAAAATGTCCAAACATAGTTCGGGAACTATTTCTTGAGTACTGTTTGCCCTTTTTGGGGGTATTTTTTATGGGGTATGTCTTTTTTGTCGTCAAATATCCCCCCGTAGGGGGACACGCCCGACATTGTCCAGATTTCACAATAAAAGGGGGGTGGTCTGATTTGGGATGGGGTCAGATTTGAGCTGTCTTGGAGGGTTCCAGTGGGTCTGGGCAAAAAGCCGCCCCTCCATGGCTTGTGTGGGGGGGTCTGGAACTGCGCGTCTGTGAGGGTTGTGACCCCCTCCCTGTTATGGCGACATCTGGAGCACTCAAAGCCCCACGGCGCAGGCCACGGGCGCAGGCCTCCTCCGTCTCCCCGAAGCCTCGGGGCACGTGCCTCCCAGCACCCTGCAGAAGGCCTGCCGGCGTGACGTGCCCGTCCGCACGGCAGCGCAGACAGCTCGAGGGCGCTCGTGGAGCGGGAGGGGCAGCCGGCCTTGATCACCAACATTATGTCGGGCGTGTCCCCCTGCAGGGGGATCTTCGACGAAAAAGAAGACATGCCCCACAAATGCTCCAGAAAGGTCAATTAGCCTGGCGAAGGACCCAACCATATGCAGTTGTGAATGCCGCAATTGTGCTGGGTGGTGGCGGACGCATGCGGGCGGTGCCACTGGGACCTTCGGTGGAGTTCCCTATGGGGCCACGAAACGCTGTACTGGGTGGGCGAGACGCGGTCAGCAAGGGCTGTGCTGCGTGGTGGCGGACGCATACGAGCGGTGCCACTGGGACCTTCGGTGGAGCTCCCTATGGGGCCACGAAACGCTGTACTGGGTGGGTGAAACGCAGCAGGGAGCAAGGGCTGCGCAGGGTGGTGGCGGACGCATGCGGGCGGTGCCGCTGGGACCTTTGGTGGAGCTCCCTATAGGGCTACGAAGCGCTGTTCTGGGTGGGTGAAGCGCAGGGAACAAGGGCTGTGCTGGGTGGTGGCGGACGCAAGCGGGCAGTGCCACTGGGACCTTTGGTGGAGCCCCCTATGGGGCCACGAAACGTGCGAGGGGTGTGCCAGAATGGGGTGTGGAACCGCATGCCAGCGCAGCCACTGGGGCCTTCGGTGGAGCTCCCTATGGAGCCACGAAACGTGTGAGGGGTGTGCCGAAATGGGGGGTGGAACCGCATGCGAGCGCAGCCACTGCGGCGTTCGGTGGAGCTCCCTATGGGGCCACGAGACGTGTGAAGGGCGTGCCGAAAAAGGGGGTGGAACCGCATGCGAGCGCAGCCACTGGGGCCTTCGGTGGAGCTCTCTATGGGGCCACGAACCGTGTGAGGGGTGTGCCGAAATGGGGGGGGGAACCACATGCGAGCGCAGCCACTGGGGCGTTCGGTGGAGCTCCCCATGGAGCCACCCACGAAGCGTGTGAGGGGTGTGCCGAAATGGGGGGTGGAACCGCATGCGGGCGCAGCCACTGGGGCCTTCGGTGGAGCTCCCTATGGGGCCACGAAACGTGTGAGGGGTGTGCCAGGATGGGGGGTGGAACCGCATGCGGGCGCAGCCACTGGGGCCTTCGGTGGAGCTCCCTATGGGGCCACGAAACGTGTGAGGGGTGTGCCAGAATGGGGGGTGGAACCGCATGCGGGCGCAGCCACTGGGGCCTTCGGTGGAGCTCCCTATGGGGCCACGAAACGTGTGAGGGGTGTGCCAGAATGGGGGGTGGAACCGCATGCGGGCGCAGCCACTGGGGCCTTCGGTGGAGCTCCCTATGGGGCCACGAAACGTGTGAGGGGTGTGCCAGAATGGGGGGTGGAACCGCATGCGGGCGCAGCCACTGGGGCCTTCGGTGGAGCTCCCTATGGGGCCACGAAACGTGTGAGGGGTGTGCCAGAATGGGGGGTGGAACCGCATGCGGGCGCAGCCACTGGGGCCTTCGGTGGAGCTCCCTATGGGGCCACGAAACGTGTGAGGGGTGTGCCAGAATGGGGGGTGGAACCGCATGCGGGCGCAGCCACTGGGGCCTTCGGTGGAGCTCCCTATGGGGCCACGAAACGTGTGAGGGGTGTGCCAGAATGGGGGGTGGAACCGCATGCGGGCGCAGCCACTGGGGCCTTCGGTGGAGCTCCCTATGGGGCCACGAAACGTGTGAGGGGTGTGCCAGAATGGGGGGTGGAACCGCATGCGGGCGCAGCCACTGGGGCCTTCGGTGGAGCTCCCTATGGGGCCACGAAACGTGTGAGGGGTGTGCCAGAATGGGGGGTGGAACCGCATGCGGGCGCAGCCACTGGGGCCTTCGGTGGAGCTCCCTATGGGGCCACGAAACGTGTGAGGGGTGTACCAGAATGGGGGGTGGAGCTCCCTATGGGGCCACGAAACGTGTGAGGGGTGTACCAGAATGGGGGGTGGAACCGCATGCGAGCGCAGCCACTGGGGCCTTCGGTGGAGCTCCCTATGGGGCCACGAAACGTGTGAGGGGTGTGCCAGAATGGGCGTGGGAGGGGGAGGAGGGGGGAGGAAGGGGAGGAGGAGGAAGGAGGAGGAGGAGGAGGAGGACGGAACGCGGGGCGACGTCTCTTCAAAACGAAGACCCAACACCACAGGATGGTTGGGAAAAATAATCACAAAATAGTTCCCACACTATTTTTGAATCATTGTTTGACTATGTTTGGGGTATTTTTTATTGTTCGTCGAAAATCCCCCTGCAGGGGGACAGGCCCGACTTAACACTAACAGGCAGATGAGATGTGAGCATGACGCACCCTATAAGACGCGGGCTCAACAGGACGGCAGGCACTGGGCCTGTGCATACTTCCCAGGAAGGAGACTCCGACATGTTGTGCTTGACCACCTGCCACGCACGCTGGAGCCTACCTGGTGAACTGCTACCGTCCCACACCATCGCAACATACCGCTGGACCAACGGAACACGTGCATCATCTCTCGGATCGCAGTACGGGTCCTTGAGTTAAGAGCCAATCTGTCAGCGACCCTGACCTCTTGGTCCAACCAGCGTGCCTGCAGTAGACCCAGAGTCCATGATGATGGTGTCTGCGAACCATTGAAATCTCGCATCGTCCATCAGGACTCTGGGCAGAATCGACCGAACGAGAACGCAACACCTCGCCCCGTCTCGCCACCCTGCGCATCATGCTGTTCGCATTGCCACATCAAGCCAATCTCCACTGGGCCGACACAGCCCCACGGATCAGAGATCCGCGAGCCGGGACAAACTGAGAACACTGGTATTAGGTCGGGCCTGTCCCCCTACAGGGGGATTTTCGACGAAAAATAAAAGAATACCCCCAGCATACCCCAAAAATGCCCAAACATACCCCCAAAATAGTCCGAAGACTATTTTTGGAGTACTTTTTGAATATTTTTGGTGTATTCTTTATTTGTCGTAGAAAATCCCCCTGTAGGGGGACAGGCCCGACTTAACACTGGTAGGACGTCAAGTCCGTCCAAAACATTATCCAGGGATTCTGGAGGGCACGCGCTTCAAATAACCCGCATGCCACGATACCTTCCGAGTTCTGAGCATGTGTACACACACCCAGAAGGACAGACACCGAGAACTCCCAGCACCGCTCCAACGCCCTTCGCCTCCACAGCATGAAGCAAAAGCGGCATCGGAGGAAGACCGTGCTGGGCCGCTGCCCCAGAGAGCTGGGTGCTTATATTGTGAGTCTCCCACTGCTGAGAGACGGGTCGCCTGGTGCGGCCCCAGGTGCGGATGAATGTGTTAAAATTAGCCTGGCGAACGACCCAACCATATGCAGTTGTGAATGCCGCAATTGTGCTGGGTGGTGGCGGACGCATGCGGG